CTGTCTTTCCTCAGTCTGCTTACAAGGCTAAAGCCTATTGTGCTTTTTGAGTCTATGGGATGCAAGACAGTGTGTCATTTTTCACAAGATTAATACAGCCTCTTCAATTATAAGTGAGGAAATGATGTATTTTGTAATGTGGTCAGATCTGTTCAAGAGTCTTCCATTGTAAAAATACATTGTCACTCTTCGCTCAGCATGCCCACAGTTTCCTACATTCTCTAGCACTCCTTAATGTTGTCTATAAAATATCAAAACAAACCACCAGCATTTGTAGCAATAAAGTGTTTTCATTGACATGTTGTTTCAAAAATAACTTCACAGATACATTCACATATTTATAGCCAGAAAACAGTATGGCGAAAACACTACACTGTAGTCCTTGAAACTAGACTACTGCACACTTCAAAATCACCAACACTTCAAACAGGACAAAAGAACATGTTAAACAGTAAGAAAATTGAGACAGTCACAGGACCTAATTTCAAACTGCAAATGTTACAGTATCCAATGTCAATCTTCAGTTTTAGCATACAATCTGGAATAAAGTCCTGATGTAAAGAGAAATACAAATACCAGTATTGGGTCATTCAAATCACTTCAAATCAGCACTCACTTTGAAAGATTCTTTGTTCTTGTTAGTGAGTAGGGAATCAATCTTTACTATACATACTGAAGGTGCAGTTATTAGATATGTACACCTTTTGCTCTGGAATTAAAGATACAAAACCTGACACTGCTGTCCACTGCTTTTCTTTTTTCTTCCCTTTATTTACTTTCTTCCTTATAAAAACCCTGAAGTTGCCACATGAAATATGCAGTGTAAGGTTTTTCCCTGTTTTCCCTATAAAAGTCTTTGTTAAACAGACAAATCTCAGCCTCAAACCGCTTTTAGAAGAGGTTTGAGACTGAAATGTGAGATCCAGGCAGACGTGTAGGTCAGCAGGAGACATTATAAGCTGAATTCAGATTCAAATTTCCTATGCTCCTTTCATAACTGCTGCAGAAAATCTGCCAAACTCTAGAAAACCGTGAACTACAGCTGCCTGGTGTTTAGATTTGGACATTCCTGGATTTGTTTCCTTCTTCCATATAAGCATAAAATCATCAACCACTGTACAAACTAAATAGGATAGATACCCAACCATCAGACGTGGCATCAGAAATCTCATTACACTGATTGTGCAGGTTAGAATGATAATTTGTGTTACAATTCTGAGGCAGCAACCCACATTAAATACTTTTTTTTAATATATATTATATATTTGTGTAACAAAACAGTATTTTATTGTGCAAACTACATTTTTATACTAGAAGTCTCTCACCTGCTGTATTAAATGCTACTGGAAATAACAAGGCAACAATTTTCTGGCACTAACTTCAGTGGCTTCATGGCCTCAGCCATGAAGTTCCTGTTAATTTTGCAAGTTTCACAGTTTTATGGACTACTTTTCATAATCTCATAAACTACTTTTAAATAGCTGCAAATGGCTGTTGGCTTGGAGCGAAACCTCTGAAATTACAGCTGTTTCTTAATTACTCCCAGCAGGTGTTCTTAGCTGGTCGTTAGACCTAATGTGGGATGTAAGTTCCTGGGAGAAGGATCAGTTTTCCTGAGGCTTTTCATTCAAATGAGGCTTCCAACAGTGTGTGGAAGGCTGAAGGCTGGTTGTATCTTGCTAGAGGTATCACTGTAGGTACGTTTTTGGTAGTAAAATGTTGTATAAATTTCTGATTCGACTCCAGCTCATAAATTCAACCTAAGGCATATACTTTGAATGATAGATACACATTCGATAGAAGTCACTATGTGCTTTATATGGATAACATTGTCTGGCGAGAGATCGCATTAAAATCTGTACTGTTACTCTATAGTCGTCATCATTTGTTAAGTACACAAGCCAAAACTATATTTCCCTATAACTTCTCACAGAGCTACAGAAAAAGTGAAAGTCACACATATCCTATCATACAGATCTATATCTCACTATGCTGGGAGTAATTTACAAATACATCCTGTTACATTTCTGTAGGCATAGAGAAATTTCAGAACAGTTACGAAGTATATGCAAGATGACTTTAGATTTACATCTCAAAATGACCCAAATTAATGAGTCCATTGAGAGGAAATTGAAGTACTTAACAGACTGCCCTGGTGAGCTAGAGATTTACACCAAACACTGAAATCTGGATTTAAGTGCAGAGTGTTTAAAGCATGGGCACTACATACTGCTGAAAGATTTTTTGATGTGTTACATATACAAACACGAGGTAGGCTTTGTTCAATAACTAAGAATACTATTGAAAAAATACCCAAAATGAACAGAAAGCAGTGAACCACTGTAAGCTTACTGTAAAACAGAAATAAAAGCAAACACAAAGATACAGTTCTTGTTCTATACTAAATGAACTTTCTGAAATAAAATTGAGTCTGCTGCAATTCACCTCTACATGTGAGCACAGGCTAAATTACAATTAAAGAAAAAAAGGATGAAACCACATATCCCCTTCTCATGTGACTTACATACAGTTACATATAAGTACAGCTACGAATTGGTTTTACAGAAGTACCAGTAGGCCTCCTAAGACCTGAACTGATTTCAATCTCATTGGTTAATCAGCTTGGCGAGAATCTCACTTCTGTTTTCAGATGCCATATGTTATATGAGATATATATATATATTCTAGGCATACCTAAAAATAGATGAAAGAATAAAACAGTTATAATAAAATATACAATATATTATAACAACAGTTATAATAAAATATACAATTACAGCACTAGCTGAACTAAGCAAATGTAATAGATTCTAATATAGCTTTTATTTTACTCTGGAGAAAAACTATTGACAGCTTTTGATATTTAATAAGGACTTTTATGAAACGTAAAACGTTATAAGTACAACACTCAGCCAGTGTACGTTAGATAAGTCTTACTGGAATAAAGCTAGGAAATCAGTGCCCTGTCCTGTTACTGGATTTATTTAAAGTAGTGTGATTTCAAATTTAAATTGTAATTCTTTTCATGTAGATTTGCAGCTGTGCAAGCAAGTATAATACGTTATCAAATCCACTATAGTTTATTTTACAAAGGGAGATACTTTGTTTTGCTCTTATGTATAGTGGCTCAGGCCATTGCTTTCACAGAAGTTAAAGGCTACCTAGTTCAGTCTATTATTTTAACCTTATGCTATAGAATTAGTATGGCGTATTTTAAAATGAGCAAAAAATGTCTACAATTGCCTCTTCTCTACTGTCTATCCCTGTAGTACAGAGATAAGTATTTGTATCAGGGTTGGGTTTTTTTAACTCTTTCAGTATTCTGGTAATTGCTATGGGAGGGCAGGGGCAGAATAGAGAAGGATCAACAAGCAGAAAAACAAAACAAAGAAACAAAGAAACCCCACAAAACCAAACAAAAAAAAAAATCCCCTCCCCCAACCCCAAAAAAACACCAACTCTAATGAAACCTCATAGGGGAAACCTATTAAATAAGGTCAGCATGTTGTAGAAGGATTTCACAACCAAGCACTCTAAGAATTAATGCATAAAAGAACAGCAGTCTATATTATTGATCTCAATATGGTTAATAGGCTAGCAACCATGAAACCACACAGTGACATTTTTACATTCAATTTTCAAAATATAATAACTCTTCCTATAACTTAAAGTACTTTTATATGTAATACACGATTTGACCATTTCCCCCCCATTTTCTTGCAAATGAGTAATAGCATTCTGAAGGTGATTTCTACATTTTATGTAAGTTAAAAACACTTAACAAAAGCTTCATTTGCTTATAAATGAATAGACTTTTATCATCTTTGAAAAATCACACTTATGCAATGGGTGCTGAGAGTAAGTATGGAGATTTTAGAAGACGAATAAACTGTTAACCATCCTCACAAGAAGCATTTAGATTTGAAACCAGTATTAGCCAGACCATGAACAGAAGCAACCTAGACACTGTCCATGTCACAGGACAAATTTGAAGAAATTAATCTTTTCCAGTGCGTGATTTTATTTATAGTTATTGCAAGTTTTCCATGAGCAGTCTTTATTAAAAGGCATTTTTACGAACTTAATAAAAAGAGCCCCACTCTAAAGCCAAAATTACTGATGTGCTGCAGAGTTGATGTACAGATGAAAATTAATTAACTTTCATCAGAAACAATGGATATTTTGTTTTATAGGATTACTGTGAAATTTTCATATAGGTCTGAGTCAAAAAAATAGGAAATAGGAAACACATAATGAATGAGGGAAGCATTTTCCATGTGTATCCTTTGGAAATATCAATTCCACCAGCTGAATTTACCTATTTGTATGCCAAATACAGCATAAGAATGAGAAAAAAACACAGCCCAATTTTCTCAAAAATGTTTTGGGTTTGTGGTTTGGGGTTTTTGGGGTTGGTTTTTTTTTTTTTGGAAGAATTAAGGGCTCCTTCCTCCTGCTTGCTTTCATCTGTAATTGACAGCTTTTTTCCAAAATAAGGTGCTGTAGCAATGACTTCATTAGGCATTGCTACAATCCTGTTAGAAAGGATTGCAGCATGTAGATTTTTGTTACTTCCTCTCATGTTTAATACAGGAAGGACAGGTTCTTTGTGTCAAATAGTAATATTTATGTACTTAGCAGAATGCATCTTGGCATATTACGGATTCCTTGAATTATAATGATGCACATCACACAACAGGAAACAGCAAAATATTTTAAGTATACGTTTGTTCAGGTAAGTATATGTCTACTATTTCGGCAAAGCACTAAATCATTACAGTTCTTAAATAAAGCTTTTTTATTTTGCTCTTTGGCACACAGCCTCAATAGAATATTGTCTTACATAAGTAACTACTGCTAATACACAGCAAGGATCTCCTTATACCTGTAGAAATAAAATAAACTGTAAGAGGTCAGAAACTTGTTCTTCCCCAGAAGGTGTGCTTTGCTTCCTGTCATACAAGATACTACTGTTCTACTGCTTTAGTCAAAAGCATTTCTTACCTAAAAATTGGATTCTTTAAATCAAGAGTGTTAGAAGATTTAATTCCTGTCTCGTCCACCATAGCCACAATGTGAATATCATAACTTTGTCTGCATCAGAAAGAGAAGCATAAAAAAAAGGAAATGGAACTAAAATAACTGTAGCATCCTGTGTGAAAAATACCAGTGTAGTTACTGTCTAAATAATCATCACCTAGTATAAGCAGCAAAGGAAATGTGTTTACAGTGGGATCAGTGCAATGGCATGATTATTTAATCATCTCTAAAGAAGTAAAATTCGCAAGATGCTTAAGTGATTTTAAAAGTTGGCATCTGGAAAACATAATTTTGACTGATAGTATTCAGTTTTCCCCTTCTCTGTCAGAAATACTGTAAGTTTCAACATTAGCAAGTACAGAGTATTATTTCATGATAAAAATATCTAACTGGCCAAATGCCATGAGGTTCACTCTTGTAATAGTTCTGGATTTCACCAGGAAGGACATTTTTCATCAGACTTTTTGCAACAAACTGAGTTTACACAGAAAAGTAAAGAGGACCAACTAAGCACCTGAGAGCATACCAGAATACTGAAGGTGAACAAAACTGGTCCTCCTTCATGAAACAGCAACCGTAGAGTTACACAGAGGTGCTATGTTGATCCTGAAAGCAGATTAGCTTTGTGGCAAGACTTGTTAGCTCAGTGCTAACACACAGTTATAGTGCTTCTCATTCTCGGTCTGGGAAGATCACTAGGTTAGGTTGTTCTGAGACACGCTCCACTTAGGTATTATGTATTGACATACTTATGTATGTTATGATGTGCATTATGTATTGACATACTTAAGCAGTGGTTATGTGACCACTTAGTGGCATACAGTGTTTTTTTTATATATTAAAATATGAATACATTTTATGTTTGAAAGACACATATCAAGATCTGTATTTATTTAGAGGTGTTTCTACAGAGAAGATTTTGAAATTTGACAAGTCCAAAATCAAGCATCTGTTGCGGATGTGATTAAGAGCCCTGGAAGTGACAGCTTTGATGTCACTGGAATCATCTGACTGGTGAGCATGTTTCCCCACCCCCCAAAAAAAGTCACCTTCCTTCACTGAGGAGGCTTTGTTTTCTGTTAAAACTTTACATACCCATAAGCAAATCAGACTGCAACTTGTGTGACCCAATCATTTAAGGAGTGTAGGGGTGGAGTTACCAAACATTTGGCTGACAAGAGGTTCATCAGAGAAGTCTGGGGAGGAAATACTCCCTTCGAAAAGCAGCCATCTTCATTAGCTTCAGTGAAAGGACAACAACACATGGAAAACACTATTCTTAAACAGGGGAGCGCATCCATAAGGACTTCCCCCCCCCCCTCCGAATTAAAAATGTAATGGATTTGGGATCAGCCCCGCTGCTCCCTGTCTTCTTGTCTTGATGAGAGACAAGGAACGTTGGGGCTTCAGGCAAACCACCAGGCTAGTTACCAAGACGTGGCCAGAACAAGACCATGCAAAATGTGTGGCCATTACCAGGACAAGATACGGAAAATGTCTGGACATGACCTGAGAAAACTGCATGTGCAAAAGATAGCAGAGTAGAAAGCTGACAAAAGCTGCAAGTACCATTGTGAAGGAAGGCAGGAGGTGACACATGGTTAAGGAGAAGGTATGTGAGAAAGTACCTCACAGTTAACTGGAGTGGAAAATTGAGACCTTGTGGTGAGCAGAGTCTCACAGTGTAAAGAGCGCCTACATAACAGTATCAGAGATACCATATAAATTGGTTATGGTACCAGAAATAACAAATGTGGGTACAAGCACACACGAAGTTAACTGGTATCTTTTGGTACCTCTAACAAGAACAGCCACACTAGAAAATCTGCTTGTGGAGCATTTACACTTACCGCTTATTGGCGACAAGTAAGACTTTCCCTGAGAGAGATTCCCCCTCTTTAACAAAGAGGGGTGTCTGAAGAAGGCAGCGTACTTGATACCAATGAGTGAGAGGTTCTGTCGGTGCAGTGGACAACCAAACAGTTACCCTAAAACAAATGAGAAAAACTGTCTAGACTTTCTCTCCTGTCTTCTCCTTTTGGAAACAACTTTAATTTGTTAGACCTTTATATATGTTATGCCTCAACTGATTATAATAAACTTTAAACTGCCTTCAAGTGAAGTGGCACAGTGATCCTACCCTATGTTGGGAAACCAATACATTATGCCTCCTTTTCTTCATTTATCTGTACTATGCCTGTCACCACCAGATCTGCATGCCTAAGCCAGTTACGGAGATTCAAAGAAGAGACACTTCATACTCCTGTTTTCTTTTCTTTCCACACTACCAGTATAAAGAATATTAATATTTCTCTCATCTTACTACAACAGACAATTTCAACAAATTATAGGAAATTAAGGTTTGTCCTGAATGTAGCAATGCGATTCTTTACAGTGGAAGTTTCATCCTTAAACAACACTCCAAGAAGGTCCTATACCTAGTTTTCACTTGCAAAATATATTTCAATAATATATTAAAAGAGGGCATAGGTGCAGAGAAAGGGATAACACGGGTAATACCATGAGCCCGATCCACTGAGAGTTCAAGTGCTAAGACAAAGAACTTACAGAGTTGCAGGAACATTAAAGAGCTGCTGATTAAGCAATTGACTACTCCAAAATGGAGGCCTTCTCAGTGGAGGATTTCAGTCAGTTCCTACAAGTCTGCAATTTTCTCTATTGTTATAACTGATGTGGAGCTTTTGGTTCCTTTTTTAAGATTAAAAATTTTACTAACAGCTGTTAAAGTATATACAAATGCACATATGTCCATTTTCTTTTAATGGATATATGATTCTGAATTCTTTGCAATCCTCATTTCAAAGATTAATAAAAGGCATTTATCGACACAAATAAATAGAAGTGCATTTTACAATATATTGAAAAAAAAAAATCACCCCATCTGAAACTAGATCAATTTAACTGGGAAATCAACAAATTTTATCTAACACCTAAATACAGATAGCTGAAATGTATGTGTTGAATACCTGAAGAGGTTTATCTAATTTTCACCCATTTACCACACCAGATGAATGCTCCATTTTGAAATAAATGCCTGGTGCTGCAGTGAAAGAATCACCCATCTAAGCCTGGTAGAATTTTGTCTGTTTTCATTTTGTTGGTTGGAACTTATAACCTGCTCTCCTTTTTGCCCACAAACAAGAGCAGCCCAACTGGGAAAATCCAGCTTATGTTCAAATGCTGCTGCTTTACTTGCAGTGTAAAACAGAAAGGTATATAATATTACAAAGAATCAGTACTGTGTGGAACAGTGTATTTGACCCTCAACAATTCTTGGATGTGGTCTACCACAGATTGTGTGCACCCTAATCAACACGGGAAGCACAATCACCACCATCTCATCATATTGTTAGCACTAGGTTATAACATTTCTTATTACCTCTACAAGGCATTATTTCTTTAATATGAAGGGATTACAAACAAGGTTAGCACTAGATAAAGGTCTAATTCTGGCACACTTCATATGAAAGGCACAATTTCCCCCCCTGTAGTTAGTATTTCATAGGAAGAAGAAAAAGTGCTTACAATGATCCTACAAATGCCACATCAAACCAGAATGCCAGGCCATGGATTAATCCAGACTGCGTCATTTGGAAAACAAAAGGGATTTCCACTCTGCAGGAGAAAAGACAATATGCTGCCAAAGTAACTTCCAAAAAGTACTGGAAATTCCACCAGAAACTTACCTTGTACTAATTTATATATTTCCATTCTTATGCATCAGTTTGTATCTCAATTTTCTGTGAATTTAAAAGGATATGTTCTTTTTTTCTGTATCAATAGAATTAACCAATAGCACTGACTCAGGTGTTAATATTTTGTGTGCCTTATTCAATAGTAGAATCAAATATGCTACTACACAAGTGTTAATGCATCATTTATGGCAACACTGCAGTCTGCTACAAATATAGGGGTTCAGTCCTTTCAGTGGAAAATTTCCAATTCCCAGTGAAGGACTTGGATTTAGTTTAAATACTATTTTGAAAGGAAAATGTTCCACTAAAAATTTGACAGACAGGACTACTACTAGAACCAGAAGGAAAAATTAAGCTGCTTGAGGAAGAGCTGGAATATTTTCCCTTCCAAAAGAACTATTCCTGGCTATGTAGTACAACCCAAATCTCATCCAATCTTGTTGAAATATATAATAAAATTAGCATTCAGGTAACAACATGTTAGTTCTGAGAACCACTGAAGGAAGCCAACACTAGGCAGCTGAAACTGGAAAGCAATTCTTTAGTTGTTTCTACCATATTAGAGCAATTCTTCTCTCACTAGACCATGTCATTTATACAGTTAGCTCTGAGTCATGTTGAAACAAGGGTTCAGAATTTCAAGGATGGCCTGTGATATTTCCCCCTTATAACAGTATATTGCAAGGACTTGAAGTACCCCCTCTATTTCTCCTAGATGGTACATTTTATTTCACAGGTGTACTGAGAGGGAGGCTTCTCTGCTGTCATTCAGGGACACAAGGAATGTGGACTTGTTTACAGAAAAGATTTGCCAACTAAAGATTTGAAGGAGCTCTGGAGGGAAGTAAAGAAGTACAGCTGATTCCTGTTAGACTGGAAAATAGTGGGTTTTGCTTTTTTTTTTTAAGAGAGATACAAAATTGTTCAGCAAGGCATCTTATGATGACATCATTTGGCAGGCTCTTTGAGGATGTCTACACAGAAAGCCAAAAGTTGCCTTGTAACTATATTTAAATGTGCCCCAACATAAAATGCTAACAAGTAAACGCTGTCCTCCAGAGCCCATTTTATACCTTTCAGAAGAAAAATTTTGTGAACGAAATTCTGGTGTTTTACAGGCTCACCAACAGGCTTCTCTGCTAATCCTAGACAAAATCATTATGCAGACGAATGCACTGGTCCATTACAAGTGGTGTACTAATCATTCTGGCATGCCACCTTCCCTCCACCACGTCCACCATCAAAGCTTCCTCTGTTTCTGAGCATCAGTGACCAACAGCCAGTTACAAAAATGAAAGATTAAGAGTGAGCTTCTGGTATCTGCTGACCTATGCAAATCTTCCTCAGCAGCTTCCAGGAAGTTAACGGTGTACTTCACTGTCTGGGCCATCAGAATTCTCATGTCAAAAGTATCCTATGTGGGTTAAAAAAAACCAAAAATGTTGCAAATGTTACCATTCTGTCTTGTCAACATATAAACTTGTTTTCTGTTAAAAAAAAAAAAAAAGGAGGGGAAAAAGAAAGATAAAAATCATCCTTCACCCTAAGGAACTTATTTGAAATGTTTCCATTTTTTAGCATCCCTTAGAATACTGTTAGATTTTGCAATATTGTCAGGATTTAATGTATCTGATAGCTCACATACCTATCAAAGACAGTTTTATTCAATCTAGAAACAATAAAATTCTTTCAGAAATTGATCACTTGTTACAAAATAGGTGGGTTTATTTTGTTATTCTTTTAACTTACACACATTTTAATATGCTTTCTGCACTGCACAGTTAAGTAAGATGAACTAAGAGCTGAACTAAGTATGGAAATACTTGCAAATTGAATTAAGTGTAGGAAGCAAATTTATTTAATACACATTGTCCTCCAGCAAAAAGTTAGGAGTCACTCAGCAAATGAAAACTTTTCTCTTGAGTTTTCTTTCTTTAATCACGTGTACTAATCCTAATCTGTCACTATTCACAAGCTCTTTCTTAAGTAAAGCAAACTTAATATAAAGGCTTCTACCACATCTCCCCCAGTGAACCCATCTAAGAACTAAAATCTAGCCACAGAGTAAGCCAGGAAATATGTGATTTTTTAAAAGCAATTCAATTTAATGTGGCTTTTATTGGGCACTGCATTTCTGATATTCAAGGCAGGAAGAATCTCAGCTGAGAAATAAAAGCCAAATAGGTACTTCATATAGGACGCAAGTATGTGCCACAGTCCTATGTATTACTCCATTCTTGCCTTAGTTTGACTGACAGCCAGAGAGCCAGTGCTGAGAATGACCATGATCTGGTCAAAGGTATGGCTGATATTTATGAAGACAAATCAGTTTTCTCTTATCCATTTTGAGTACCAAGAGCAGTCAAGTGCAAAAGGTCACATCAGTAGTCTAATGGTCTTTCCAGATTTCTGGGCAGGTTATAGGGCCTCCATGTGACAGCAGCTACACTGCTATCACTACTTAAACTAGTTAGCCTAATGCTAGCCTAGACATGCTAGCTAGATATGTTGCAGTCAAATTTCTGAGAGTGAACCTTTTTATGGCACCTACACTGAAGCATTATGCTGGGGTAGGAGTGGATTTTAAAGGTTTTTCCCCAGAGAGGTGAGGATTTGTCTCTCATTCTTTCTACCTAGCTACCACCTAGACTTTTACTAAAAAGAAGGAGAAGGGCAGGTTCTAGATCCATAGAGATTCAATCTAGCACCATCAAATATGTAGAGATGAACACATTAATATGTAAATATTAAATATTAGATATTTAAAACGGAACTATTTACATTTAATTATTTATTTTTAGTAATATGCAATTAATCTTTATATTAATAATGTAAAATGAATGAATGCATTTAAATTTAATTATTATTTAAGATTTAAAATTTAAAATGTTAAATATTAGATATTTGCATATTAAATATGTAAAAATCCAATAAAGTATGGGTATTTACATATTTAAGGAAAGGTTGTTTCATAATACTGAAACCTGTTTGCTTGGCTGCATTCTCTTTTCCTTTAATTTGTGGATCAGAGATGGGAAGGGAAAAATCATGGTCAAGTCACTTGTTTAAGAGACTGGAAACACCGAGGGAAGTTAGTTGCATGTTAGGAAGACAATTGTTCACATGCTGTAGCTTCCCAATATGTGCAAAACTCTAGACATTTGTTACAACAGCAAAACCAGGAATATTACATACAGTAGTTAACCTTTGACAGCAGCTCTCGTCACACGTGCATGTTCCTGGCTGTCGACTCAGAGCCACAGAGCTCTGTCAAACAAGGAGGCTATTGTATCTATCTGTAGGATTTAGTGGAGGGGACTAGATAGGGAGAGGGCAAACCACAAAAAAGAACCCCCAGACATACAAACTTACCACAATAGGTTGTCGGAAATACTCATCCACAGCTGCAGTGCGCAGGCTAGATAGATTGACCCCATAAAAGCATTCTTGGTACCTAGAAACAGTAACACACGCAATGTTTAGGGAAAAATGCTTTTTCTGGGTTCCAACCAGAGCCAGCAGAGTAACTGCAAATGGCAGGTGAAGTCTGGTGAAGCCTCTTTCCTTTTTCCTGTCTGCCAAGAGGCCAAATTGCAGCCCTTCTTAGCTTACCTTCCATACAGACATCCTATACAGCACTGAGGTGACATGATCCCATCAAATGGATATACGGAGACATTTCACAGTATGCTTCTGAAAGAATCCACACAGCAAGCAGAGAATAGGGATCAGGGCTAAGGCACTTTAAAGCTACTTCTGTAATCTTGAGCTATTCCAGAATCGGGAGTGGACCTTGTATAAATCAAAATAATGATAAGGACACCCTTTTTGTTGAGGAAAATAAATCCTATACTAACAGAACAGGGAAAAAAATAGCATTTTTATCTTATTAATGTATGAAAATGTGCATTCAATGTATATTCAGACTATTTCCAGTATGAAATTTGAAATGAAAATACACATGCTTGCAATAAACTTCCTCCTGTGTATAACCCTCTTACCATCTAATTGAAAAGTCTAATAGGTATCTTTATTTCCAGACAACATAAACAAAAGGGCATGGAAAGGGGAAACATAAGGAAACTCTACTCATTGTGATGGAAGTGTCGTCTAGATGCAAAACCATGGTCAAGCCTTCCAAGTCTTCCAAGTGCAAGAAGCACTTAAAAAGGAAAACTTTAAACACTTGTCCTCATTGTTACAATATCATACAACTCCTAAACTATCGTAAATTTTTCTGAAGTGTATGAGTTAGTCTAAACCAATCTGGCAATATCTCTTCAATGCTAGTAAATTCTGCATTAGTAGTTCTGTGCTAATTGCATAAAGGGAAGATGCCCAGGTGACTGTATGCCTTAAAGATATCTTTAAGGAAAGAACTCAAGTAAGCACAACAGAGGAAATCAGCTCACACCAATAACTGTAAGTGATCTTTTACCCTTTTCCATATGTTTGCTGTACTGCATAATTGAGTTGCTTATTTATCACTGAAGAGAAACATAGACAAAATGCACACTATTTTTAACAACTTACTGCATATATTTATGCTTTGTATCTTTCTGTCTTTGAAGAGTTCCACCAAGAAAGAGGGCAGTCTGCTTTTCTATGGTAGACTGTACATTATCACACTTCTGGGAATGATAACTGGTAAATACAAACTAATAAGCAACTAATTGGCAACAGTAAGCCAATCTATAGGCATCAAGAGAAACATAACATACTTACACAGTCTCACAACTACTATTACTGTATAGCTACAAGGCAATAATTCTAAATGTATGAGAAACAAGTAGCCCTTACTTTGTATAGTAAACAGGCTATGCTAACTGCTGCATCTAATGTTAGAACACAGCATGATTTTTGGATTTTGAAGGTTTTTAAAGTCATGGTGTCTTTACCATATTAAAGTTCAAATTGAGAATCTAGATAGTTCTTTCAGTCCTTTGCTCAAGTGCTATCATCCAACTGGATTTAAAACCATATCCAATCTCTAAGACACATGATACATGTGTAGCTATATAGGTAAGGATTTATTACGCTCAAAACACATCTTCTGTTCCAAGTAACAAAACTGGATAATGAATAAAAGCTGTTTCTTGAGGCCTGGAATTTGAAGCTGAGGACATCACAAGCTGTCACCAACTAGTTCCTGACAGTTTACTGCAAACACCCAAGAAAGCTCTGAGAAAGTGCTTTGTCTGAAATAGGACTTTTATAGCTCTGGATCTATCAGCGTATCCAGACCGTTTAGTGTTATGAATGTGAATGCCCTAGAGTGGTGCAGTTACAGAACAACTTGCACTCTCACTCAGAACATTGTGATTCCATATTTGGTTGAAGACATTAGAAGCACTAATTTGTTGGTCTTTAAAGCACTTAGTAACTTCAAGGATATGTAACCTTCTTGTACTATCAATGACTCAGGCATGCATCCATACAAAACTACAACTATGTGGACTGATTGGGGGACTGATAGGAGGACTGATACTATAGCCCTCTGCTCAGGAGACATGTCATGTACATAAGCAAAAGTAACAGGATCTTGTGGAAGACCAGAATGACAGTTGAGATGCAAAAACTTATCACAATTTACTTCTACCTTTTTTTTTTTTTTTCATTTTCTTAATGCAGACAAGTACTGTCGCATTTTTTGGTGATTGTAAACATACAATGCAAACATTTCATAGCTGGCTCAACTACACAATGAGACAAAAGAGTACAAACTGGCTGTATAAAGTAACATTGCCAGCAAAGGATTCAGCGTGTAAATCACTCAAATTTCTCAGTCCTTTAATCACTATAGAAATAGTGAGATTTTGTCATAGCTCTACTTCAGAGATAGCCAGAAGAAACTTTCTAAATATAAGCAGTTACACCATAACCTGGTGCCCAGGACGTCTGGCCATGGAAGAAAACTGTCTTCAATCTAAGAAACCAACAAATAGGTTGACGAAGACCACTTTATGTTCATATTAATTCCACATCACAAGCTGAAAGAACAGTTGAAAGACTGCAGTTACAGTCTTTCAGAACATTTAAAAATAATTAACCCTGGAGTTCCACAGCACCTTTTATACAAAACCTTTAAATAATAATCTATAAAATAACTGATATGTATCACATGAAGAACTGGAGAAGTTTACATTCAGCCCTTTGCTGAAATGGAATCATCTCAATTTCTTCTCATTAGAATATCGCTGTAACTGCTTCCTCCTATGTAGAGCACAGCAACAGCTCAACAGTGGATAGTAGCAGTAGAACACTCCAAGGCAAAAGGAGTACAACTTCTAGTTAAAGCTGCATGAAAAAATTAGATGGACAGAAAATAACTATCAAGTTGGAATTTGTTCAGGACTTGGGAATTAATACTTATTCTATGTGAAAACTGCCACGGAATTTTTCATGTGCTTATGCACCTGGGACTTCAGGGAATGATTACCATCTGTAGCATAACACACTTTGGTATAGCAAAGGAAACACTAGCACCTGATTCACATTAATCTTTCAAAACAAGACCAAATCAGCTGTAGCCCTCCTCAGAGATCCTTCAGACTTGCACAATAAACAGTATGACTTTAGGCCAGAGCAACAGTGAACACAGAAAACATAAAAGCATTCTGTTTCAATGTTGACAAATAGTTTATACTTAATCAAAGAACTGATTTAATTTTTAAGCTCTACTGAATATTTCATAAAAAGAAAATAAGAAATAGTCATTACCAAAAATTGGCTCTGGAGAAATGTTCCATGTACAGCTGCTCATCAGAAAAAGGAGCCAAATGAATGTCACCGAATGTTGGGAACATCATTCCTGGTACACAGAAGACAACATAAAGCAGAAAGCCAAGTGTTCAAGAAGCGTTTGGACAATGCGTTTAAACAAATGGTTGAATGTTAAGGTTGCTCTGTGTGAAGTAAGGATTTGGACTTGCTGATCCTTCCAACTCAGGATATTCTGTAATTGTATAGTCCCACAGACATCTCTACAGAGATGTCTTAAGTAGCAGGAGCCACTAGTTCAGAAGAAGCAGTTTTCATACACTTCAGATACCTTAACAGTTAGTTTTATTAATATATGGCTTATTGAAATATGAATATGATAAAGCACTTAGTAAAAAACCTAATCTAGAACAACGTATAGAAGAGAACTCCAAAGCTATTTCCACTGTGAAACAGCAAGAAGTCACAGCATGGTACAATAGCAATGGTGGCTGCATCATTCTGTTAATTCCCCTGCCCTGGGCCCCCTAGATGGTGGTGGTAAAGCTAGAATGAGTGTATAAAACCAGACAATCCTGGACTACCAATTCAAGTATTTTTTAATTTTTTTCGGAAGCTTTTTATTTTCTTTTCTCTATGCAGGATATAACTGCCGTGACACACTCACCACGTGTCTTCAACCATTTTTTGGAATGGAGGTAACTTTCCAGCATCCGTTCATTGAACAGCATATAACCCATCGGTTCAGAAATTACCACATCAACATTCTCAGGCAGGGAGACCTCCTCAATTTTTCCAGACAGAACTATAATCTTGTCAGAAAGGTTGTTGCTTCTCACCAACAGCTGGAGGAAAAACAAAAGCACCCAGCAAGTTTTGACTCCTTTGATCAGCAGAATTTTATCAGAGATCTAGCATTAAACCCCTTATAGCATAAACCAATTACCTCAGTCTGTTAATCAGAATAAAATAGAAGTAAAATCATAGAATCACAGAATAGTTAGGGTTGGAAAGGACCTCACGATCATCTAGTTCCAACCCCCCTGCCATGAGCAGGGACACCACACACTAAACTATGTCACACAATGCTCTGTCCAGCCTGGCCTTGAACACCTCCAGGGTTGGAGCATTCACAACTTCCGTGGGCAACCTATTCCAGTGCCTCACCACCCTCACTGTGAAGAACTTCTTCCTTATATCTAATCTAAACTTCCCCTGTTTAAGTTTGAAGCCATTACCCCTTGTCCTACCACTACAGTCCCTAATGAAGAGTCCCTCCCCAGCATCCTTGTAGGCCCCCTTCAGATACTGGAAGGCTGCTATGAGGTCTCCACGCAGCCTTCTCTTTTCCAGGCTGAACAGCCCCAACTTCCTCAGCCTGTCTTCATACGGGAAGTGCTCCAGTCCTCTTATCATCCTCATGGCCTCATCTGGACTTGCTCCAACAGCTCCACGTCCTTTTTATGTTGAGGACACCAGAACTGGACACAATACTCCAAGTGAGGACTCACAAGAGCAGAGTAGAGGGGCAAGATCACTTCCTTTGACCTGCTGGTCACGCTTCTTTTGATACAGGCCAGGATATGGTTGGCTTTCTGGGCTGCAGGCGCACACTGCCTGCTCATGTCAAGTTTCTCATCAACCAACACCCCCGAGTCCTTCTCCGCAGGGCTGCTTTTTTTATTTTTCATTGCTGCGCCAAAATTTCTAAGACTGGGGCTCACTGGAGCAAACTCAAAGAAATACACTGTGTGGAATCAGCAAGTGACAGTACAAGTACTGTTGTCCTGTAAGAGATTACAGAAATCGGTATCTGCAAGAAAAAAACTACCTACCAGGAAAAGGTGTGTATTTTAAGTCAGTACAAAAGATTACAAAGAAAGGGTCTTCACAAGTCTCTAAAGTTTTAGAAATACTGTTCTTGAGTAAGTTCCATAGTTGTGAAAGGATAAAGAAACTCTGGAGCTGAAAAGTTTTCAGTGAGTATTTTCTAAGCATAAATGGAGCATAGCACTATATTCACAGGAATGCATTTGAATGGGCTAGTACTTACAGCTGGGATACTGGAGATATACTCACTTCCATGGGCATAGTGAACCTTGGGGAAAAATGTTTAATGAATAGCAGAAATGGACCTAAAATTTTATGTTTGATACAGCAAGTTAATTCTAAGAAAAAGAACAACCTTTTCAAAGCCTCTATATATCTACACATAGATGCATATCCTATTTAGCTGTACTGTACTCAGACATATGGGGAAGTATCTAAACCTCTTGCTTTTAAATCATAGCAGAATCTGGGTTCTTCTGGCACAAACATATAAAGAAACTATTATTTCACATTAATCTGAGGTGTCTGCTGGGAGATCCTATAAGGTGAAGCATCCTTTGCAGCAGCACAGTAGGAGATTCATACTGATGTCCAGAGATACCAGGAAAAACAAGTATACACAATCCAGTAAGTAATAAGAAACTCCTTCAGAGTTGTACTTGTATTGATGTAATTGTAACATCAATATAAGTACATATAATTACTTCAGCAAACCTTTTTCAAAACAGTCTGGGCCTTCGGTAATAGTGATGCTACTTTCCACTCATTCCAACTAGAGAAAGACTAATGTCGTTATTAGTTAATTCATTAATACATGAATATGCGAAAGCAGTTAGTTAGCAAAAAAATCAACTCAGAACAACATATAGAAGAGACCAGAATACTTCATCAAGTCTTAACAATTTTATGGTCCTATATCAAATATCTGAATTACTTAGCTTCCTTCAAATGGAGTTAAATGCTAGCTATTAAATAACTTCTTCACATTCACCAGTGGAATTTTAACACCTTCTTGGCTTATAGTAAACCTAGTAAGTATAACATCTGTGTGAAGGATTTGCGTTAAAGCTTGAGTGAATGATATAGTTGATGATTTCCAGCCATAACTTGCTAATATAAACTACATGTTAATATGACAATAAAACTACTAAACAAAACAAATATCATTGTACCCTAGCATGCTATCAATTAAGTAAATAACACTGCTGCCTCTTTTACCAACAGTGTTTGTATCCATTTCTAATAACAGGTTGACAGAATTTATTTTAAAAGTTCTTTAGACCAGAGACCATGTGAGCAGACACATGATGTAAGTTTCATTTTGGAAATTAAATTACTGTTTTGCTGACAGATGAACTCCAAATCTAAAAATAAATAACTCAAATAACAGCTCTGCGGCAGCATGGACATAAAAAGGAGAGAAGTCTAAGTCATTTCAGACCCTCACAGGCTATGGTAGATAACTCACATGTTGCTAGAGGGCAGCAGAACATTACAATATCTCATGCACTGGAGATGATAATATTATGAAAATTTTACTGGGAATAATAGCATGGAGACAGATAGAAATTGCTATTCTGTATTATTATTATTATAATTATTACACAACTTAAAAAAATTATCAATGTTTACTTGTTTTCCTACCTTTAGATACAGCAAAAATAAAACCCAAAAAAACCACTGTCAGTACTAATCCTCTCCTCTGGAGTGTAGCTATGACTTCAGAAAGCTGAAGTTCCATGTGCTTTTGTCATTCTGAAGCTTAACTGAGACAGAAACTGTATGTCCGAAAGGAAGTTAGCTGATGCCAGTTTTAGCCAGAGCCTCAGTGAACAGAAACCTGTGCTTATTCACACAAAATTTGTGCCCCACCAATATGCTCTGATAGTGATCTGAAAAATCAAGGCAATTCTACATCTGCCAAAATCTCAGACTGTGTACGAAGATTGTCAGGAAGCCAAGAATGCCAGTTGAAGCAAGTATTTCACATGCATTAGGACATTGATTTATTTCAGGGAGAAGACCACTTGTCTTATGGCAGCTATTTTTTTTGTCATTATTACAGCTGAGTTAGCTAACAGTTCATATCTAGTTGGTTTGGTGGCAATGAAAAGCTAGTTTTGAAAATTTCAAAAGTTTAATTTTTTTTAAATATTTTTTAAACTCAGAGATCATTTTTCTGAAACTGAAATTTACCATGCATTGACGAACTCTGGTTAGTGGCTCATTATCACATTAAGAAAAGCAATAATCAATTAATTGATATTAAATATTGGAGAGCTAGTCTTCCACAAATTCTACGTATCTCTTTTGTACAAAAGAAAGATTCTAGATTCCACAGAAGTAACAGAAATAATAATAATAACGCAAGTGTATTATACCAAACGCACATAGAATACTGTTAACTTCTACTTCCAGGCAATATTAGTGCAAACCTGAAATTAAAAAATAATCATATAAATAAACAAATAAATAAATAAATCACTTCAGGAAGGCTATAAGTTAACAGCTATAAATTAACTTTTGTCCCAGCCACCTCTGTCTTGTTTGAACTGACCTTACTCTTGACAGGATTACTGAGTTAATTCACCCTCTGCAGCTCCTTCAAAAATGGAGTGTTTTAAATACAGCACATTATTTCTGCCATCACCAATATGACTTTGCTGCTCAGGCAGGTATTTTGTCCGTGCCATTTAAAATATATGCCTTAAACAAACTGTTTCTTCATCTTTTATGCTGAAACCAACCTGTATCTTCATCTGACAGCTTGCTGTTTTTACTAATTTAGTATTAGCACTTTTTGTGCCTTTTTAAAAAATATTATTGCAAATGCAGAACAAACAATAAAGAGCGATGGCAGTATGGCTTTTAGACTCAGTGCTTTTGGAAATCAATAGCAAATCTGTGGCAAAAGGAGAGGAGGTATATCTGAGTGGGTGTGTTGGCAATATTTTCACCTCCACACAGTATTTCATGAATTCCTGCAATCACCCAGTTATGGTCAGCATAATGTGTTTGAACAAAAGGAGTAGTTTCAATATTTCATACCTTTTGTGAAAGTTAAAAAAAAAAAAAAAAAATCCACCCAGCATCTTATGATTTTGTCAGTGACTGAAAGGGGTGTGTTATTTTCAAGAGCCACATTCTCTCATTATTCTCCTGAATTCCAGAACACTGAAAGCAGGCTCATTATAAAATACTTCTTCCTTATATCTTGTATCAATCTACCCTCCTTTCATTTTTAGTGTTCATTATCACCATACCATATAAACCCCACCACACAGCATCTGATATACCAGGTAAGCCAAACAACTTACCACGTAATTAAATACAGTTAAAGTTTTTAGATCTAAATAACAGAAAACAGTAACAGGTGCAGATTTGTTTACTTCACAGAAGATAGTAAAGTGCCCACAAATATCACCTAAACACTACATAGCAAATAACTGCAAACATTATGGTGCTTGAGACAGAATCTTTGCAAGAGTACTCTGAGTGCACACAAAATGCCTCTCTAAATTCCTGTATCTTGCAGGCAAACTGAATCCACTCATACATGAGCACCCCCACAGGAGTCATAACACAGTCCACTCAAGGTTAATTGTCTTTCATTAAATTAATTTTCTTGTTTGGCTATTGCAACAGATTAAATAGCAGCCTTAGATGTAACAAATCTCATATCAAGACAGACAGTGAAGGATTTCACCAGAAGTCATTATTTTTACTTTTAATGATCCCATCGCTAGCTGACCTACGCAATACAGTCAGATTTTCCTCATGCACAGTAGCTCGCTCTTTCTGTTTATCCAAGTGTTCCACGTAGATTTTTTTTTTCCAGTCTGTTAACGTTAATGTTTCCCCTTGGTCCTAGATAGGCTGCTTGGAATCACATTTCCTATTTAGACAAAATAGCTACCAGCACCAGCCATTTTCAGCTTTCTTCTTTTGCTCTCCACTATTTTTTGGGCAAAGGATTTACTGCAGTAGTGAAATCAGCAGATTTAGATTGCTTTCA